CGTCTCCGCGTCCTCCGGGACTGCTCGATCTCGTCGCCCCGCGCCCGGGCGACCTCGAGCTGCTCTTCGAGCGCGGCGGCCTTCGCCGCCGCTTCCTCCAGCGCGTCTTCGTTCGCGCGCGCCGCGCGCCGCGCGTCGAGCTCCAGCTCCGCGCAGCGCGCCTCGAGCGTCGCCGCGGACCGCGCGGACGTCGCCGCCGCCTCCTGGGACGCCGCGAGCTCCAGGTCGATGGCCGCGACGCGCCGCGCGACGTCGGCGGTCTCGCGCTCCGCCGCGTCCGCGCGCGCGTCCGCCTCGGCGACGCGGTGCTCCTGGAAGCGCAGCTCGTCGCGCGCCGTCGCCTCGTTGTCGGCCTTGACCTGCGCCAGCTCCCGGGCGAGTTTGTCTTTGGACCGCTCCAGCGCCTCGACGCGCTCCGCGTCCTCGACGGACGACAGGCGCAGCGCTTCGAGCGCCTCGGCGTCCAGCGCGCGCGCGTCGTCGCCGTCGGCCTCCAAAGCCTTCAACCGCGCCTTCGTCTTCTTCGCGCGGTCCTCCCAGGTCTTGCGCTGCGCCTCCGTCTCCTCGAGCGTCTCCTGGAAGGCGCCGACGGTCGCGTCGTGCTCCGCCGCGAGCTGCCGCGTCTGCGCCTCGAAGCCCTCGCGCGCGGCCTCGAGATCGCGGGCGGCCTCGCTCCGCAGGGCGTCGCACGTCGACTCGAGCTTGGCCTCCAGCGACGCGACGGCGGCCTCGAGGGCCGCGGAGACCTTGCGCGCGTCGGCGACGTCGCTCTCTAAGGACTCCTTCAGCCGCCGGAGCCGGTCGTTGTCCTGCGACAGGACGGACGCGCCGTCGTCGCCGGCCTGGAGCCGCTTCTTGGCGACGTGGAACTCGTCGACGACGTCGCTCAGGCGCTTCGACAGCGCCTCCTCCTTTTCGCGCGCCTTCTCCAGAGACGCGGTCAGCGTCGCCTCGGCCGCCTTCGCTGCGACGGCCTCTGACCGCGCGGCCTTGAGCGCCTCCTTGGCCTCGGCGAGGTCCGCGGCGAACTGGGACGACTCGCTCGCCGTCCGGCGCTGGGCCGCCGCGCGCGCGTCGGCGAGGTCCTGCGTCAGCTTCAACACCTCCTGCTGCGACGTCAGCGCGATCCGCTTCGCGTCGCAGAGCTTTTCCTCGGCGGCGACGGCCGACAGGTCGACGTCCGCGAGGCGCCGCTCGAGGGCCCGCAGCTCGTCGCGCGAGGCTTTCTTCTCCGCCTCGAAGCGCGCGCGCTCGTCGTCGAGCGCGTCGCCCGCGTCGCGCGCCTGCGCGATGGCGTCGCGCAAAGCGGAAGCAAACTCCTCCTGCTGCGCCGTCAGCGCCTGCATGGACGTCTCGTAGCGCTCCGACGCGTCCGCGCGCGCCTTGACGGCCGCGTCGCGCTCCGCGCGCGCGTCCTCGGCG